CACTGCAGGGCAGGTTCCGGTAGGCCATGCCTGTGCTGCTTGGGGGTGTGATGTTCAGCACACAGTGCAGGTAGGCAGGAAGGAGGGGGGAGATTGTGATGTGTGGAGCTAAGATGGGTATGGGAAAGAGGAAAGAGGAACAGGAGCCAAAAACATACACATAAACAATCAAACAAACAAAAAAGAGTGCTAAGGGAGCTTGCTGTTGGAGTGGATAGATGAGAGACTGAGAAATGGAGAAAAACAAAAAGGAAAAAAAAGAAAAAGGGTAAAAGAAAAAAATGAATAAATAAAAATTAGAGGGGAAAAAAAAAAAAGAAAAGCCCCCAGGGATCCCACCGGTGTGGCTGCTAGGACTGGGGACGTTGCTCCTAGGCCGTGAAGTACAGCCTGGCTAGATGGGGTAGAGGTGTCACACAGCGCCAGGTATTCAGGAGACAGGAAGAGAAGGTAAGTATAGAGAGATGAGACTAGAGTTCCAGGTGGAGAGCAGAAAAGGGATTGAGTAAGCCTGACCTGGGGCTTGAGCTGGAGATACAGGAGGAGGGAGTGAGAGATGGCCCTGGTTTTGGCACATTCCCTTATCTATAAAATAGACATAACACTGGCTTGAATGAACTAATAAATGTAAAGATTCCTGGAGTAGCACCTGGCATAGAGTCGGCACTCAGTAGATGCAAGTTTTACACATAAGCTTTCACCCATTGACCCAGCAATCCCACATCTTGGACTTTACCCTGAAAGTACACCTCCACCAATACAAAAGAATAAATGCATGAGTTTATTCATTTGCAGCATTATTTGTCATAGCGAAATATTGCTAACAACCTATATCCCACATATATAGTTTATAGTTATATATAGTTTTTTATTGCCTTAAATAACTACAAACTGAGCAGCTTAAAATAACATCATTTATTAGCTTACAGCTCTGTAGTCAGAAGTCTGGCGTGGCATGGCTAGGTTTTCTGCTCAGGGTATCACAAGGCTGAAATTAAGGTGTTAGCTAGGCTTAGTTCTTGTCTGGAGAACTAAGGGAGATGAATCTGCTTCCAGGCTCATTCTTATTACTGGCAGAATTTGGTTTCTTGTAGGACTGATGTCCTGGTTTCCTTGTTGACTGTCAGCCAAGGGTCACTCTCTCAGCTCCTACAGGCCACCTACATTCCTTGCCACATGGCCCCCTCCACCCTCAAGCCAGCAATGGCATGCCAAATCCCTCTTGGGATTTGAATCTCTGACTTCCCCTCCTGAGACCAGCTAGAGGAAACTCCGTGCTTTTAAAGGAGTGGTGATTAGGCCAGACCCACTGGGGAAATCTCCCTATCATAAGGTCAAGTGATTTTGGACTTTAATGCTTTCACAGCAGTACCTAGATTAGTGTTTGAATAACTGGGAGAAGGTGTGTGTATGTTAGGAGCCAGAACTCTTGGGCGGCCATCTTAGAATTCTGCCTATAACACCGTAGGAAATTCATTGAATAATTTGATGTCCATCCATGCAATGCAGAGCTATGCTTAAGTAATAAGGAATGAGGAAGTTCTCAGTGAACTGCTCCAGAGTGATTTTCAGGATACAGTATACATTGTTAAGTGAAAAACCAAGGTACAATAAAGTGTACTGCCTTTCATAATGTAAGAAAGGAGCAAGAAAAAGAAGTATATTGTGGTGGGCAGCCTCTAAAATGGCCCCTAACCATCCCCGCCTCCTTCCTGGTGTTCATGCCCTTGTATAATCCCCTCCCCTTGAGTGTGGGCTGGACTTACTGATTTGCTTCTGGCAAATAGAATACAGCAGAAGTAGTGGGATGTCACTACTAGGTTAAAATACAAAGACTGTGGCGTCTACCTTGGAAACTCTCTCTCTGTGTCTCTCTGGGGGGAAGCCAGCTGCCGTGTTGTGAGTAGTCCCATGGAGAAGCCCATGAGGCAAGAAACTGATATCTCTGGCCAACAGCCAGCAACGACCTGGGGCCTGCCAACAGCCACGTGAGTGTGCTTGAAAGAAGCGCTTCTGAGGCCTGCCAGTTGCTATGTGAGTTGACCTTGGAAGTGGCTCCTACCCCAGTCAAACCCTGAGGTGACTGCAGCCCCAGCTGACACCTTAATTGCAGCCTTGTGAGAAACCTGGAGCCATGAGGCACACAGCTAAGCTGCTCCTGGATTTCTGACGCACAGACACGGTGAGATAATACATGTTGTGTAAGCTGTTAAGTTTTGGGTTAATTTGTTATGCAGCAATAATAACTAATACATATAATTCTGGGGGGGGGGAAGCAAAATGGTTTCTTATACCGGGTGAGTGGGAACGAAGTGGAGGAATGGGAATGGGAGTGAGACTTCTCCCATTATAACTTTTATAGGATTTGGTTTGGAACCATGTGAATGTTTTATACATATGAAAAATGCTAATAAAAAGGATGAGAAAGTAAACCCTAGAACTGATGCAAATAAAGATAACTAACTTAACAAGTATATCAAATTAATAACATAACCATCTTGAAAAGCAAATTAATTCAATAATTCTGAACACACTTACTCTGACACACTATTTAGAAGGATTTAAAAAAAAAAAAAGATAAAAGACGAAAAGAATTTTAAAGAAATCTTGAACTTTACCCAGAAAGTGCTGGTGGTAGTACTGCCAAGTCTAAACCTATTTTGTGAACGTTGTAGTACAGAATAAATGAATACATATAGTGATGCTGACGGGAACCAGGATTTTCACTGATGGAGAAGGAAGATACAAATACGGAAAGAGGAACTCTGTGGTATTAGATTTTGAATTGAAGGTATCAGGATGAAATCATGATTTAAACATAGTTTTCGGTAAAGTGTATACTGGTCACTTATATATATTCTTGGTCCACTGAAAGGTGCTAGAAGAAATGAATCCCAGGAGATATGAGCACACCAACTGCTCAAATCTAATTTCTTACTCGTATTTTTTACTAAAAGTAACTAGAATTTTTTTGCCTAGGGCAGAGAGAAAATACAAAGAGAGCTAGTAGGACTTGTGTCAGAAAGCAAGGAAGTACTCAAAGATTGATGGGATATGTAAAATGATACCCAGGTCCTTGGGTGGCACAAATGGTTTGTGCACTCCCCAGGTAACCTAAAGGTCGGCAATTTGAACCCGCCCAGTGGTGCTGCGAAAGAAAGACCCAGTGATCTACTTCTGTAAATACTACATCCAAGAAAACCCTATGGAGCTCAGTTCTGCTCTGTAACACATAAGGTCACCATGAGGTGGAATCAACTCCACAGCAATGGCAACAGGTATAAAAGCATACAGGAGCCAGGCGAGGGGACTTCACTGGCTAAATATGGGCAATTTGTGGCACCAGAAATAATAATGGTATTAGATTATAATAATTGAATACAAAAAGAATCCAGGAGTCCATACTGATATTGGAAAAGAGACAGGAGGAGTTGAGGAGGGAGGAGAAGGAGAAGGGTGAGGGAGAGGAGAAAAAGGAGAAAAGAAAATAAAGAGAAAAGGGGGGTGGGTAAGAGGGTGGTTATTTTTCTTTAGACAAGAATGCCAGCTAATAAATGTACAAGGAATGATAAATTAGAAATTACCATTTCGTAACTACTGTATTAAGTGTTCATCAGTGAATGCTACACCTACTGAGTGGAAGATTGCTCGGGGCGGGGGTGGGGGGCAAAATATTCACCTGGTTTCAGCCTGTCCCTGCAGAGATTAATCATCTGTTGCAGAGGGAGAGAGGTGCCTTTCTAGTGGAAGTATCTGCCAGACACCCCTTGACAAGTGATCAAATTTGGCGTCACTGGTAATAGGGCAAACCCACACTGTGTGCCTTCCGATGTGAAGCAGTATAAGACATCACCTCGCATTTTTTTTTTTTTTTTTTTACCAAAAAGTTTAACCTAAATTTAAACACGAGAAAACATGTTTGATGAACCCAAGAACATGGTACATTCTACAAGACAATTGGCCTGGACTTTTCAAATACAGTATGTCAAAGTCAGGAAGATTGAAGAAAAAAAAAGCCAGAGTTGTGTTGTACATTGAAGGAGCTTATACAGAGAGACAAAACCAAACGCAAACGCAGTGGGTGAATCTTCCCAAAACCAAACCCACTGCCCTCGAGTGGGTTAGGACTCATAGCAACCCTATAGGACAGAGTAGAACTGGCTGATAGTGTTTCCAAGGCTGTAAATCTTTACAGAAGCAGACTGCCACATCTTTCTCCTGCGGTGCAGCTGCTAGGTTGGAACCCAGACCTTTCAGTTAATAGCCAAGTGCTTTAACCACTGCACCACCAGGGGTGACTCTTCAGTATATCCAAATTGAAAAAAAAAAAGTGTGTATGTGAGACATTTTGGAACAAAGGAAATTTAAGTACGGAGAGTATATTAGGTATGATGGAAACATTAAATTTCTTGTATGTGATCATGGTTGAGGTTTTTAGGGGTATTCGCAGTGTGTTTTTTAAGTTTCAAAGGGTTCAGAGAAAAGAAACCTATATTTAAAGAGATAAGGCAAATGTTGCAAAGTTAGCATTCGGTGAATCTGGCTAAAGGGTATAGTTTTCAAAGTACTACTCTTTCAACTTTTCAGTCAGTTTGTAAATTTTGTAACTAAAAAGCAGCTTTCTTCCTTCACGACGGTGGAGGTTCACGTTACACAGAAAATCAGCATCAAGAAAGCTCCTTTTCCGTGGCCCTTTCCTAGCTCAGGACCTGGGCTCTCGGTGCGTTCCCGAAGTTTCTCTTTCACCCCTGAGTCGGGACCAGAGGCTGTAGGAGACGGCAGAGTCCCCAGAAGCTCCCAACCCAGCTTGTGTGAAACTGGAAGGCCCAAGCTTCCGCAGTCAGCGCCAACGCCAGCGGCCAGTAGCTGAGCTTCGGAGGGCGTGGCCCGGGCGGCTGGTGCTGGTGGTGGCCAATGGGCGCCGAGGCGGGGGGCGGGGCCTCGCGGGGCGGGCCCGGGGGCGGGGCTCCGCGCCGGCTCCTGGCTGCCCCAGCCGCTCAGAGGTCTCTTCTCCGCCTCCTTCGCCGCAGCCGGCTGTGGCGGCTGCTGGTTCTCGGAAGGCCGCCACCGCCGGGTAAGTGCCGCGCCTCGCCCTCCTGCGGCCCGCCCCCCTTCCTCCCGCAGCGCCAGGAACCTGGAGCCAACGGCCGCTGGCCGCGCTGCCGCTCTGGGCTTCTGCGACTCGCGGGCTGGAGGTGGTCGTTGGGGTGGCGGTCTCGGAGAGCCTGGCGCGGCCGGGTGTGCTTAGGGGCTGCTCGGGACTCTCCAGTTCCTGTGCAGCCCGGGCTCAGTGGGACGCCAGGTTCCGGGACTGGTCCCCGCTCCCTGCTCCTTCTGTCAGGCCGGTTCTGATGATTGTTGGTGATGTGATTGGTTCCTGTTATAATGACATCAAGACCCAAGCCCATGCTGGCATCTGGGCGTTTGCGCCCTTGCTCCCCCGCGTGTGTTTTCTCGGTCCTCTGCATCCCTCCCACTCAATGGTTCATTTAGGGTGCAGCTGGAGCACCTGCGAGCTTCGTGCCCTGAGAAAGGGGACGCGATACTTTGAACTGCTTGTGGAACATGCCAGGTTGTAAGGACGGGGAGAATTAGTGTGCTCGTAAAGTTAATACAGCTCTCTAAGGTTTTTCTAGGTCTAAGTAATTTCATGTAAAGTAGTTGCAGTTATCAGCATTATCGTTCCTGCGCAAACATAGCAAATAATGTTCAAACTGCCCTGCAGCCTAGATTTTTCCTCATGTAGTGAGAATAGTTGTGCTGTCAAAGTTGTGACAGTAAACCAAAAACCAAATGCTGTGAGTGGATCCACTCATGGCGACCCCATGTGTGTCAGAGTAGAACTGTGCTCCATAGGGTTTTCAATGGCTAATTTTTCAGAAGTAGATTGCCAGGCCTTTCTTCTGAGGCACCTCTGGGTGCACTCAAACCTCCAACCTTTAGTTCAGCAGCCAAGTGTGTTAACAGTTTGTACCACCAAGAGACCATGGGAAAATTCATGTGAAATGAGGGGTTGATCTAGATATGATTTCTCAGATTCCTTTTAAACATTTCATAAGTCTGTGATGAGCTTTTTTTGGCTCTGTATCTTTAAAAAGAATAGGAAAAGTCTGGAAAGGGCAGCCCTGTAGGGAACGATGATTTATGAGAGCACAGACCTTTAGAGACTGATTGCTTATGACTGCAGACCGAAAGGGGAACACCAAGTAACATTGAAAGGGCTTACCCAGAATTAATTATATAAGAGAAACTTGGAAAGCTTTCACAGACTTGGAAAGTTCCAGCAGCAGTACTGTATTTTAATTACCTCTTCTCAGCCCTGGTGGTGTAGTGGTTAAGAGCTTGGTTGCTAACCGAAAGGTTGGCAGGTCAAATCTATTAGCCGTTCCTTGGAAACCGTATGGGGCAGTTCTACCCTGTCCTATGGAGTTGCTCTGAGTTGGAGTTGCTCTGAGTTGGAGTTGACTCAATGGCAACAGGTTTGGTTTTTTTTTCCCTGCAGCTGTTCAAAAGAAGTAAAGAGAAAATAAGTGCTGAAGAACCATATTAGAGAAAATGTAGTAGAAAGGACATGTAACTTAGCACATACCTTAAGCACAGGGAGAATCGTTTGGATTTCTTTGTTTGTACGGACATTTCCGCCCTGAAAACGCTTAGTTTTTTAATAGATGTATTTTCCCACGTAGGAAAATGTAGTATTTATTCTGAATATGTAGAATTCCTCACTCTGTCATCCATCAGTATTTTTTAGCAGCCTTTGGAAGATAGTGTTGGCTGTGTAGTGCATAGAGGAAGATGGTGTGTTCCTTCAGTGAGACCTTAGTTTGAATACTTGGTAGCTGTGTGATGTTGGGCAAGTCACGTTTCCTCTCTGAGGCTGTGTTTCCTCAGTTGTAAAATGACATCAAGTGAGCATGAAATAAAATCCCTAACGCGGAAGCCATACAGCAATGGCTGACGTATCACACATTCAGTAAATGACTGTGATTGTTCGATTGTGTTCATAATGCAGCAAAGCGAGCTGGTCAGTGGGTTTTAGCCTGGCTCCAACCATCATGCACTAGGCTACTAGCTGAAAGGTTGATAGTGGGAACCACTCAGAGATGCCTCAGAAGAAAGGCCTGTAAGAAGGGCCTGGTGATCGGAAGAGTTCCTAGGTGGTGCAAACGGTTTAGTGCTTGACTGTTAACCGAAAGGTTGGCAGTTCAAACCCACCTAGAGGCCCCTCGGAAGAAAGTCCCGGCAATTACTTCTAAAGGATCATATCCTTGAGAAGTCTACAGAGTGCAGTTCCACTCTGCAACACATGGGGTTGCCATGAGTCAGACTCAATGGTTATTGTTTGGTTAGAAGGCACGGCCTAAAGGGGAGTACGGTGGTCAGCAACCGCGTCTGGAATTTATGCAAAGTCCTAATCCCTTCCCTAAGCTCATGCTGAGATGTTGCCCTAACACTCTTGTCTGCCAAGGACACTTCAATCTCCCTGACTCTCTTTGCCTGAGTACTGCCAAATGCACCTCAGTAGATAGACTTGGGATTTTTCCCAAGAAATGTGTTAGGAAGTTAAGGATTTTGGTTCAGGAGAACCCCTCAAAAGAGAGCCCAAATGCAAAGAATAGTTTAATTTACAGAACAGAGATGTCAGCCTAAAATAACTAAAGCCTTGTTACAGGTTGCTCTGCACAGCACAGCTTACTGGGTACATGGCCCCCATGCTAGCCTTAGCTAGAACCTTTTCTTGTTTGGCTGTTTGACCAATTGCTGAGACCCTCTGCTTCTATTTAGACCAAACTATTTTCCTGTTACTCAGCAAACATTATCTGTGGGAAGGTCCAATAGTCTTAACTGCTCAGGGATCTAGTTCTAGCATTTGGAAAGAAAAGAGGAAGAGAGCCAAAAGTAATTTTCACCTGCTCTTAAAAATTGTGGCTGATTCTAACTCACAAAAAAAGACCAGATTTACTGGCCTGGCTGATTCTAACTCACAAAAAAAGACCAGATTTACTGGCCTGACAGACTGGAGAAACCCTGAGAGTATGGCCCCTGGACACCCTTTTAGCCCAGTGGTGAAGTCACTCCCAGAGTTCACCCTTCAGCCAGGGATTGGACAGCCTCATAAAACAAAACGGGACTAATGAGGCACAGCAGTCCAGGGACAAGGACTAGTAGGCAGGAGGGAACAAGAAGGCTGGTGATAGGGAACCCATGGTTGAGAAGGAACAGTGTTGCCATGTCGTGGGGTTGTTAACCATTGTCATAGGGCAATATGTGTACCAGCTGTTTAATGAGAAAGTATTCTGTCTGTAAACCTTCATCTAAGGTACAAAAAAAAAAAATTATCTGTGTGAGATCAGATTGACAATAGCACCTCAAAAGGTTTGATGGGAAGCCTGGGGGGCAGTGAGTTGAAGATAATGGTGATGGAATAATTTGGAAAAGGACAGTGAAAATAGCAGCACAACGGGAAGAATATAATCCATGTCACTGAATTGTACATGTAGAAACTTTTGAAATGGTGTAACTTTGGCTATGTGTATTTTCACCAAAAAAAAAGGTCCTCCAAAGTTGAGAAGGGAGAGTGTTGACATGTTGTGGGGTTGTTAACCAATGTCATAAAACAACATGTGTACTTACTGTTTAACGAGAAACTATTTGTTCTATAAACCTTCATCTAAAGTACAATAAAAAATATATATATATAAAACAAACTGTAGTTGAATAGAAAGTACTTTCTTATAGATTAACCAGGGATACTGCTAAGGAGAGGACACTAATTTGTAGAAGGTAAATTTATTGTGGCGGCACATCTCAATTAGAAACGAATGAGTGCGTGATTCCATCCTGTGTGATTCCAAACCCAAAACCAGAAAAACTAAACCCATTGCCATCAAGTCAATTACTACTCACAGCGACCCTATAAGACAGAGTAGAGCTGCCCCATAGGGTTTCCAAGGCTGTAAACTGCCGCATCTTTCTCCCGTGGAGGGGCGGGTGAATTTGAACCGATGACCTTTCTTTTGGGTTAGCAGCCAAGGGCTTAATCACTTCGCCACCAGGGCTCCTGATTCTAAACCACCGAGAGGCAATTCCATAACAAATCTGAGCTCTAGTTGAGTATTTGCATATGGGTATACCCCAGACCCTCTGGGCTTTTATTCTAACTAACTAAAAACCCAATATAAAACTTGACAAGGGAAAAAGTAGCCAAATCTCATTAAAAAGAAACTAGCAAAACAAATGAAAGCAGTGACAGGAAATCAGAAAGTTAATCTGTGATGGTATTAGGTCATATGACAGTAGTCTTAAAAATGTTTTAAAATTAAAAATAACTTATAACCCCATTTCCCATTCATCTTTGATGACATTCTGAGGATCTTCTTCATGTGTTTGTGTGCGTAGTTTATATATTCCCTGTAGAGAGAAGAATCACTAAATAAGATAAATAGAAAGAATCAACTCTAACATCATCATCCAGAATTACCTACTTAAAATAGGAATCTAAGTGATAGCACAGTGTTCCATTGCATGAATTGGCCCCCAATTCTTTAAATAACTGATTTTCAATAACAACACAGATGCTTGGGCTGAGTCCCGAAGATCCTCATTCGATAGACAGAGCCCCGGTGTCTGTACTTTAGGAAGCTCTGCAGTGCGGTTAAGAACTACTAGTAAGGAACCCTGGGTTCACATGCTCAGCTGCTAACTGAAAGGTTGGAGGTTTGAGTCCACCCAGAGACACCTCAGAAGAAAGGCCTGTGATCTACTTCTGAAAAATCAGCCATTGAAAACCCTAAGGAGCACAGTTATACTCTTATGCATATGAGGTCACCGTAAGTTGGAATGGACTCAATGGCAACTGGAGGAAACAAAAAAAAAGATCCAATGTAGATGCCTTGTTGCATGTATGGTATCATACCTAAGAAAATAAGAATCATATAAGCACTATCTTTATATACTAGTTGTTAAAAAAAACAAAAACATTGCTGTTTAGATTGACTGTCTCCCTTTGAATATTATTTTTTTCTCAGGATTTTTTTTTTCTTAATTTAAGCCCGTTTTTATTGTTTATAAGATGCATCTTATCAGTAGTACCTTTTGGAAACTGCTTACTAATATTTTCTCCTTAATTAAAATGAATAGGCTATCTTAAGTCATTACAACCTACCTGCAGGTTCTTTGTTTTAAAAAACATCATCACTTCCTTACTGATAGTGTATAGTCTCAGGTTGCAGCAAAAAAAAAACCCTACAGTTGGAGTCAGAGCAATTGAGGTTAGAGGCCCAATTCTGCCCCCATTAGCTGTGTGGGGCTCAGTTTCCTAGTCTGTTTGTGGGAATGGTGATATCTGTCCTCCTACTCCAAACTTGTTGGGAGGAGTCTAATGAAATTATTTATATAGATCACTTTGTAATGGTAAACTCTAAGCCAAAAAAACCCGTTGGTATTGAGTCAATTCCAACTCATAGTGACCATGTAGGACAGAGTGGAACTGCCCGATAGGGTTTCCAATGAGTGGCTGGCAGATTCGAACTGCTGACCTTTTGGTTAGCAGCTGTTAGCTCTTAACCACTGCACCACCAGGGCTCCAGTGGTAAGCTCTAGTACCTCCAAATGCCACTGTGATGTAGTTGTTGTTTTGTTTTTTAACTTGCAGTCAGCACATTCCAAAAATGGATTGAGGAAGGTACTAGCAGACAGTAAATGAATTACTGGATTTATTATTAATGTGTTCTTACAATCTGTAACTTATCATGTTAATCATTATATTAACTATGAATTTCATGAGGTTAAGAATTAGTTAGGAGTCCCTGGGTGGCACAGAAGGGTAAGCAATTGACTACTAACTGAAAGGTTGGTGGTTCGAGTCTACTCAGAGGCGCTTCGGAAGAAAGGCTGGGCGATCTGCTTTCTGAAGGTCATAGCCTTGAAAACCCTATGGAGCACAATTCTTATCTGACACACATGGGGTCGCCATGAGTTGGAATCAATTCGACAGCAACTAGGTGTTTTTGTATTTTAAGAATTCGTTAAGTAGAGGTATTAAATGTTTCTAAGGACAATAGGGAGATGAGAGTTTGTTTTTTGTTGGGTTGGGGGCCTTGTCCTTCAGTGCTGAAGTACATGAGAACAGAGGACAATTTTCAAGATCTGTGCTGAGGGAGACTTCTGCGTTGTTCATTTGTGACTGCTCTGATCTTGGTTAGTACCCATAAACGAGGAATAGCTCTCGGTAGATTTATTCAGGGTCCTCTTTGGAGTCCTTCCTTGTGACTTCTCTTACTTAAGCAAGCCCCTTGCATTGTTGAGAACTGGAATTCTGGGCAGTGGTGACTTGTGATGGGCCCCTCCTGGGAAATGCAGACTTGTGAAATCCCTAGACACGTGCAGAATAAACACATTGGGTATATTGTTGGCCGTAATGACTATAATAAGAAACTTCCTTTTAAAACAACAGTTTTAGTTGATAGTATATACACGAAAGTGAATTAATTTGCCCGTGTGTCCTGTCTGGGCATGAGGTCAGATTAACTGCAATCACATATGATTACAGAGCATCTAGTGCACGTGGAAAAGGGCCCCCAGTGGTGCAGTGGTTAAGAGCTGGGCTGCTAACCAAAAGTTCGGCGGTTCAAACCCACCGGCCACTCTGCGGGAGAAAGTTGCGGCAGTCTGCTTCCGTAAAGATTTACAGCCTTGGAAACCCTATGGGGCAGTTCTACTCTGTCCTAGAGGGTCATGATATGTTGGAATCAACTCGACAGCAGCAGTTGATTCCACGTGGAGGTCCTGGGCTGTGGCGTGCCTGTAAGTATGTGCCGCAGAGCATATGTGCCGCAATGTGTGAGTAGGTGCCACGGTGCTTCAATATGTGTCACAGCATGTGCCACAGTGTGTGAGGACCTGCTAAGGGAAAGGAAAATGGAAGGCAACATTTGTGGAGTGCCTTTTTTGTGCTAGGTTTTTAAATATGTGATAATGAATCCAAACCAAAAATCAAACTTATTACCATTGAGTCGATTCCAACTCACAGTGACCCTATAGGACAGAGTAGAGCTGCCCTAGGGGGTTTCCAAGGCTGTAAATCTTTATAGTAGCAGACTGCCACATCTTGTTCCTGCGGAGCTGCTGGTGGGTTTGAACCACTGACCTTTTGGTTAGCAGCTGAGCACTTAACCACTGTGCCACCAGGACTCCTTTTAATCCACACAATAGGCCTAAAAGGTAGGCATTTCATTTAGCTTAGTGATATGGGCTCTACCCCTAACTGGTTGTGTTGGCTGTTATGAGGATGATGCTACTGATGAAGAAAACAGCCTAGACTGAGGTTCAGCAGGAACTTCCCTAGGAAGGAAGTGGGTGGTGTGGCTCTGACCCCAGCTTCTGCCTCCTTCCTCATGCTGGGCCACCTCCCAGCTCCTAACAGAATTTGAGCAAGAGAAGAGAGCTCCATTTGTTGAGTGTGAGTAAAAGTTTATTGTGGTAATTTTAAGTAATTAAGTAATTAGTGGGGAGAAAGTTGAGCCTGTTAACCAATACAGGAGTTTTAGGACTTATTCTGGATTGCATTTTCCCTTATGACACTGTATATTCATTTCCCAGGGCTGCCGTAACAGAATTCCACAAACTGGGTGACTTATAAGAACAGAAGTTTATTGTCTCACAGGTCTGGAGGCTGGTAGTCCAAGGGAGCATCTTTCTGCAAAGTCTGCCAGTTTCTGGGAGCCCCCAGTGTTCCTGGGTTTGCTGATGCACGTTTGCAGGGCCGTCCTGCCTCTGTCGGTCTCTGTTTCTTCTCCTTTGTTTATAAGGATTCCACTCAGATCGGATTAGGGCCCACCTTCACAGGCACCAGCGGTTAGACTTCAGTATACCTTTTTTTGGGAACACCATTCAGTGGTTTGCAAAATTTTTCTGCTCTGGTGCACACTGGGGGTGTGATGCCCCCTCTTGTTAGCTGCCATGAGTTGGCACAGTGGAATGAAACACTGCCCAGTCCTGTACCATCCCTGTGATTGGTTGCATGTCTGACCATTGTGACCCATAGGGTTTTCATTGGCTGGTTTTTGTCAGTAGATCACCAGGCCTTTCTTTCTAGTCTCTTTAGTCTGGAAGTTCCACTGAAGCCTGTTCAGCACCATAGCAACACGCAAGCCTCCACTGCCCCCCTGTAGGGACTGTCTCCAACAGTGACAAAAGAACAGCAGATATTTATTGGGTGAGGAAGAACTAGATGTAAGATAAAATAGACTACCCAGAAAATTGGCTCCACTGCACCACACTGAATACATACACACATAGCAAGATGTCAGCATGCTCAATTACGTCCTAAGGCATGAATGAAAATTAGGGCAACTGATGAAGTGAGGGATGTATATGTATGTGTGTGTGTAAGTAAATATAATGTTCCCTTCCTCCTCTGTGCAGTTGGGACAGCAGCCCCTACACTGTCACCATCACCATGCAACCATTTTTTTCTATGAGATTAGTAATTGCTGATTTGGGGTTTAGGACATAGGGGTTCTTTGTCTTATCAAGGCAGGGCTCCCCTTGGGGATTGTTACAGGACTGGAAGGGTGGTTGCAGGGGGTAGAGGGGGATTGTTGCAGGGGGTGGAGAAGGCTTGTAGGGTGTGAAAGTGGACGTTGTTGTTGCAAGAGTTGGAGAGGGGTGTTTTGCAGGGAGTAGAGGGGGCGTTGTTGCAGAGGGTGAAGGGGTTGTTGCTGGGGGTGGAGGGGAGTGCTGTTGCAGGAGGTGGAGGGACATTGTTGCAGGAGGTGGAGGGGGCGTTGTTGCCGGGGGTGGAGGGGGTGTTGTTGCCGGGGGTGGAGCGGGGTGTTGTTGCAGGAGGTGGAAGGGGGTGTTGTTGCAGGGGGTGGAGGGATGTTGTTGCAGGAGATGGAGGGGGGCGTTGTTGCAGGGGGTGGGGGGGGCGTTGTTACATGGGTGGAGGGGGGTGTTTTGCAGGGAATAGAGGGGGTATTGTTGCAGGAGGTGAAGGGGGTGTTGTTTCAGGAGGTAGAGGGAGGTGTTGTTGCAGGCAGCAGAGGGCATTGTTGCAGGGAGTTTAATAGAGTTGAGAGAAGAAACTACCAGTGTGAGAATTTACAACTTTGAAACATCTTGCTTTTGCATCCAGGAAAACCCCTGTTGGAGGCTATGTTCCTGTAAATCAGAGAAGGGAGGTTGGTGAGAATGTCGGCGCTCAACTGGAAGCCGTTTGTGTACGGGGGGCTGGCCTCCATCACGGCCGAGTGCGGTAAGCAGCATCCATTCTGGACTCGCTTTGCCTGTAATGGTGTTTAAAATTTAACGTCACACTTTGGGAGTTGGCGTGCATGTAGTGCAAGCACAGAATGTGTGTACTTAGGAACCCTTAATCTCCTAATTCCAAATTTTTTCCTTCTTCTGGTATATTTTTCAGACAAAATAGTCATTTTGGCTACTTATTAACAGTGTAGGGTTTAAAGTTTAGTGGAGAGAAAGTTGGGCTTGCTGATCAAACAGAAGTTTTATGATTCCTTTTTAGACTGCATCCATCCCTTTTTTCCTGGTCTTTTTCTGCACTGTGCCGCAGTTAACACATTGGGCTGTAAGGAGGTTTTGAGATGCTCAAGGGTCTTCCTTGAGCCAGAGTAGACCGACTGTAATTATTCACTTCATTTCTGCTTGTGCACATTTGTGACTTCCTCATCCGGTGGTTCCACACCAGATCCTGGTAGTCTGTTTATTCTCTCGATTCATTCATTCAACAAATACCGACTGAGCAGCTGCAGAGTGCCAGGTGCTGGGCTGGATGCCTGATTTGCTCCCAGGGCTCTGGTCACTGCTGTCTGAGGACCCACTGGAGCAGCAACCCCTGAGGAGCCAGCAAGGACCTGAACTGAGGGGCTGAGACACATTAACCCCCCACCAGCTTAGGTTCTCTGCTCTTGGGCTTTCCCACTGATGTCATGAATCAACTTTACTGTCTGAGTATGGGCTTTATATATTTGGGTGAACTGTCTGTTAGGTCCCTCGGTGGCGCAAATGGTTTGCACTCAACTGTTAACCTAAAGGTTGGTGGTTCGAACTCACCCAGTAGTAGCATGGAAGAAAGGCCTGACGATCTGCTTGCTTCCGTTAAGATTACAGCCAAGAAAACCCTATAGAGCAGTTCTACTCTGTAACACACAGGGTAGCCAAGAGTTGGAATTGACTCAATGGCAACAGGTTTGTTTTTTTTTGTTTTTTGTTTTTGCTACATTAGGTACTATATTAAACGTTTTTAGCTGCATTATCAGTGGTTAAGAGCTTGGCTACTAACCAAAAGGCTGGCAGTTCAAATCCACCGGCCGCTCCTGGGAAACCTTATGGGGCAGTTCTACTCTGTCCTGTAGGGTCACTGTGAGTTGGAATTGACTCAACAGCAGTGGCTACAGGCATCAGATTTAATTTTAGACTATAAAATCAGTCTTTCTTAAATGAGAAACGTGAATCATTAAGAAAATGAACTCTTCTACTTCATTCATATTGAACCCAGTTTTAGCCTTCACATATGTAAAGAATAGTAACTTGTTTCTTAAATGGATTTTTCTGTTTGTATAAATCACTCCGTGTATTGGTAATATCAACAGCAATGTAGGCTTCTCAAATCCTGTGGGGAATAAGGCAGGGTGAAAATTGTAAAAGTACAGAAAGGAAAATGCATATGTGTATATTTTTTTGAGTTTTGTTCATCTTTTGGTTCCTAAAAATAATTTAAAAAAAGAAAAAAGACTGCTAAGTGCCTACCATTTAGTTTTGTTTCTTGGTTTATATTATAGCCTGAATGTTTTCTCAGTAATATACCACTATGTATCTTTTATTTTGTGGAACTTCTGTTAGATTAAATGAAATTTTTTCTTTCTTTAAAATTTTAAGGTACATTTCCGATCGATTTAACCAAGACACGTCTCCAGATTCAAGGCCAGACACATGACGCAAAGCTTAAAGAAATGAGGTATCGCGGAATGTTGCACGCGTTAGTGAGGATAGGCAGAGAAGAAGGGCTGAAAGCACTGTATTCGGGGTGAGTAGACCTTTGTGCATTACAGTTCAGTGTTTAGTATGTATTTTATGTAGTAAGTGTTTGGTGAAACTACATTTTTATGATATTCAAGTGCAGACAATAATGTAAGAATTACGTTTGTTTTAAAACATTGATTTTGCACTCTGAAAATAGCCCTGCCCCTTAGCTGTTCTGAATTGCTGAGGTTTTTTCCATAATAGAAATGGTACGGCATCCTCCATGGGTGAGAGTTGCAGTGAACTCCTTTTTCTTCCTTCAGCATTTAATGAATGGTGTGCTATAGGCACTGGATGGGAAAGTGAATAAGACTCTCCCTATACCGGAGTCCCTGTAGAAAACAGTTCCTCAGATGGTTTAAATGAAGGAACTATTTAAGGGCTAAGGGGACAAATGAAAGATGCTGTGGCAGCTAGAAACTAGCAAAGTGAAACTAGCAAACCCTAGGACCGAGGGGCGAGGGCAGGGAATAGTGTCACCAGAGCCCACCGAGAGTGGGAGCCTTGCAGGAGAGCCCACCTAGCTCAAACAATACTTGTAGAGGAGGCTTTGGTAGAGCCCAGGAAGGAGGGAGTCGGGGAGAGGACTCCCTCCTTCCCTCTCTTCCTTCCTGTCTGCTACCCGTGGAACCCGCCTGGAAGTCAGCTGGCAAGGGAGCGTGGGTGATGCAGTGTGTAGGTGTAGTCCATAGAAATCATCCTCTCAGGGCCCAGAGCTGGACAGAGACGGGTAAGAGCTGATCTAGGGGGACAGACAGAGACTCAGCAGCACACTGTCCTTAAGGAGCTGTAGTTTTGTGGGGGCTGCAGATGTGTAAACAGGGATTACGGTGGAGTCTGATAATCACGAGAGTCTGGTAGAGGCAGGGCATCCATCCCAGACTGTGGGAACAGGGGAGGTGGGAGGTTTCCAGCTGCTCTATCCAGGTAAAGTTAGAGGGGACCTATATTCACACACAGCCAGTAGCATATGTAAGAAAGTGTGACACATTTTAGGGACTGCAAGTAATTTAATTCTGCACGGATATGTTGTGGGGGTAGGTGAGGAGAAAGAGATGGAGCTGGAGTGGTGGTAAGGGATCAGGACATGGACAACCTCATGCCATGCTAAGCAGCTTGACTTTATCCAGTACACAAGAGGTTGCAAACTGGCAGCCCACAGCCCCCTCCCCAACCTCCAAAGGTTTTTGTTTCAATGGATCCAATATTTTAAAATGAGAAATTACACGTGAAAAATCTGTGGTTTCATCTTCTCAAAAAATTCAGCACTGGATCCGCATGCATTTGTTTATTAACCACAGTAGCTGGAGTTCAGGATGCTTTCTCTGGTTTACCAAGACCTCTACTGCTCACGTAGTGTACGTGTGTGCAGGTAGACCCTGGCCACTTCACTCACTGTGGCGTCTGCATGGTTAACTGTAACATTTTAATTTGCTGTGATTATGGTAGGAGTCCCTGGGTGATGCAAACAGTTAATGTGCTGGCTGCTAACCAAAAAGTTGGAGATTCGAGTCCACTCAGAGATGCCTTGGAAGAAAGGCCTGGCAATCTACTTCCGAAAAAAGCAGTCATTGAAAATCCTATGGAGCACAGTTTACTTTGATGCACATGTGGTCGCCATGAGTTGGAGTCAACATGTTGGCAACTGGTTTTGGTTTTGTGTGCGTGTGCTTATTGTGGACATAAGTCACTGAAGGGTTTTAAGTAGGGGGAGCAACATGATAAGATTTCCGTTGTAAAAAGATAGCTGCCTGCCGTGTGGAGAAAGAATTACAGATAGATTACACTAGAAGCAGGACTCACGTAGGAAGCAAGGACAAGAATCTGAACTGTGTATCGGTCTTGGGGATGGAGAGGAAGGAACAAGTTAGAAAGCTATGTAGAGGGTGGGACCAACAGTATTGAGTAACCTCATATATTAGGACACAGTGAGGAAGGAGGAGACAAGGCTAATGTTTAGGTTTCTGGTTTTGGCCAACGTGTAGACGGCTGTTCCATTCCCTGGTCTAGGAAATGAGAAGGGAAGCTGCTTGCTTGGAGAGGGAAGAAAATGAGTTCAGTTTGGGCTACTTGATCTGGAGGCATGTGGAGGACGTTTAAATGGAGAAGTCTAGGAAGCATTTGAGACACATCTTTGGCTCAGGGACAGATAGATTTAGGAGTCATCTACCTCTAGACAGCAGTTGAAGCCCTGGGAGTATGAGCTCCTCAGGGATTGTGTTGAGTAAGGAGAGAAGAAAGCATGGGGTAGAATTTTAGGGAACACCAGAGTTACTGCAGAGGAAAGCAAAGAAATGAATGAGGGTGACATTACAGCAAGGAGCCCTGCTGGCACAGTGGTTAAGCACTCGGCTTCCAACCGAAAGGTGTAATTCCAACCCACCAGCCGCTCTGCGGGAGGAAGATGTAGCAGTCTGCTTCTGTAAAGATTGCAGCCTTGGAAACGCTATGGGACAGTTGTATTTTGTCCTGTAGGGTTGCTAAGAATCGGCTGTATGGCATAGACAGCATACAACAACAATAACAATAACAATGTTACAGCAGATCAAGGAGGAGACAGCAGTGAGGAGGACAGAGGGTGGACAGTTGTGCATATTTCAAAGAGAATACATAAGATACTAATAGAAAAGTGTCTGATTTAGCAACAAAGATGATTGGTCCCCTTGGTGAGTAGAGTGGGTAAAGGGAGGCCAGGTTGCAGTTTGAGGAGGTGTAAAGTGCTGAAAGAGAGCTGGGGAGTATAGATGCCGCCACAGGATGGTTTTGGGGTGGGCGAGGATCGCCGGAAGAACCTATAGGATGGAGGCTTGTGTTTCCTGTTATTGGATCTTGAACTTGGTTCAGAATTGCAGTGGGGAAAGAACTGGAGAGGAGATAACTGGATCAGGGCCCCCAGGGAGGTAGGAAATGAGCTCCAGAGCAACAGTGGAAGAATTAGAGATGCTTGCAGTGTGCTTAGCTGATGCTGATGCCAGATTTCAGATGTCACGGAGTGCTTTGTATTCAGAAAAGAAAGCTTTTTCACTTTAACATGAATGGGCATATTAAGGCGCGCTGGTGGTGCAGTGCTTAAGTGTTTGGCTGCTGACCAAAAGGTCTGCAGTTCAAATTCATCAGCCACTCCTTAGAAACCCTATGGGGCAGTTCTGCTCTTTCCTGTAGGGTCGCTATGAGTCAGAATTGACTCAATGGCAACAGGTTTGGTTTAGGGGGTGGTGACATATTAAACTCCACATTCATTTATATTTTCATTGAGGATAAATAAGAGGGGCTGATTTTTTACTTAATGAACTAATAATTTGCACACATTTAACTGAACCCTCCTGTGTTTTTGTTGGATTTTGAATTAAAGAGCACTGTTTTAGCCTAAGGAGCCCTAGTGGCACAGTGGTTAAAGTCATCGACTGCTAACCTAAAGGTCGGAGATTCGAAACCACTGGTGGCTCCATGGGAGAAAGATGTGGCAGTTTGCTTCCATAGAGATTTACAGCCTTGGAAACCCTATGGGGTCACTGTGAGTTGGAATTGACTCGATGGCGATGGGTTTTTTTTTTTTTTTTTTAATTTTAGCATAGGAGCCCTGGTGGTACAGTGGTTAAGAGCTCAGCTGCTAACCAAAAGGTTGGCAGTTCAAATCCACCAGCTGCTCCTTGGAAACCCTGTGGGGTAGTTCTACTCTGTCCTATAGGGTCGCTGTGAGTTGGAATCGACTCGATGGCAGTGCGTTTTGGTTTTTTGGTTACTTAGCATAAGGAGCCCTGGTGGCGCAGTGTTTAAAGTACTCTACTGCTAACCAAAAGCAATTCGACCCCACCAGCTGCTCACAGGAGAAAGATATAACAATCTGCTTCTGTAAAAGATTACAGCCTTGGAAACCCTATGGGGTTGCTGAGTCGGAATTAACTCAACGGTGGTGGGTATTTTAGCTTAGTTTGATTGTGAAAGGCAGATGCATGATTGTATCTCTGTATGGGTTTCCTAGAGGATTTTAAGTGAGTTTTTTTTTGTCCCTCTGCACGTTGGTTTGACAGAATTGCCCCTGCAATGTTGCGCCAGGCTTCTTATGGCACAATCAAGATAGGCACTTACCAGAGCTTGAAGCGATTATTTGTTGAACGGCCAGAAGGTGAGTGGGGAATCCTTTTTCCACTTGTGGACAGGAGGGGGATGTTTGTCTTTTTATTTAAGTGGTTTTGGATCAGATTTTCTTCAGCTTATTTGTGATGACACTCCTGCCTGGGGAGAACGCTGGGTTTAAAGTCTAAAATGAACCGTGCTTAAAGCAAGTCAGTCATCGGCTGAACGTAGGGAACCCATGGGAGTTGGGATGGCAAGGAGCAGTCTGCCTTAGTTGCCCTCATTTCATAATAACTAGACTAGAGGATGTATTATTCCAGTTCTCGCCTACTTAAACGTTTCTAAAGTCATATGAATTATTGCCTGTTTTCCAGGAAAGCAATGGATACATTTCTTAGAATTAACAACTCTGCGTTCTAATACTCTTGTTGCTGGTTGGTTCTGTGACTTTGTTTTAATCCATAGAATTTTCTGTCTCTTTTTCCCAATGGAACAGGCACCAGTCACTGTTAAATAAGAGTGGTGAACAGGAGCTAAGATGCTTTGGAAGTGCTTCAATAGTGTTTATTTTATTTTGAAATAGATAAGATGTGCTTTAAAACTTTCTGTGCCAAATGAATCTCCCAGTTATCTCATAGAAGAAGTATGTCTTTTTAATTCTCCTAACAGAAATGCTTCATCTTGATTAGGGTGGTCTGAATTTACAGACAAGAGTAAAATGATAGATGGTTACTCACTTTGTATGATGATTCACATTGCTCTTTAGATATCAAAAAATTTTGCTAAGCAGAATCTCTTCAGTCAGCAAAGTTCCTAATCCTTTTAAAATTACTTGATTCATAAAGTATAAATTTCTTTAATATCTTAAGCTGAACAAGCGGCATGTAAATGAATTAGGTATTTGACTTACAGGAAGAGCTCTAGAAATATCACAGGGCAGATGATGACATGTCTTTGTTTACAGATGAAACCCTCCTGATAAATGTTGTGTGTGGAATTCTCTCTGGAGTCATATCCTCAGCCATTGCCAATCCAACTGATGTTTTGAAAGTAAGCAGTGCTGTCTGTATCTTACATAGTCACATTCTACATTTTCTAATTGAGAACATTATTCAGATAATGAAGATCTGCAGAGTTAACATACTCCGTGTAGATGTGGGTCGCTGGGTGGCACAAACAGTTTGTTCACGACTACTAATGGAAAGAGTGGCAGTTTGAACCCACCCAGCAGCACCACAGAAGAAAAGCCTGGTGGTCTGCTTCTGTAAAGATTACAGCCAAGAAAACCCTATAGAGCAGTTCTACTCTGTAACGCATGGGATTGTCATGAGTTGGAATCAACTCAGTGGCAGCGGGTTTGGTTTGGTTCAGGTATATGTGAATCTATTTATAATTTATGTGCTGTGAAGACAGTAACTTTTAAATATCCACTAGGTCAATTTCCCACTGATACAGATGAACTCAAAAGTAGAGCTCAGGTTTCTGGTAATTAAGCAGGAAAAAATAGTTTAGATTTAGGCACATTTGAATTTCTTTTTTCATTGAAAATCTCTTATTTTATTGGTTCATTAAAAACAAATGGGCTGCTATAATCAGATGTAACACATCGGGTGACCTTATTGAGAATACGAGGAATACAGCCTCCTTAAATCCTCTTTGGAGTAAGGCAGGAGTGTAACTCATTATATAAAACAAAAATAGGGGATGAGTTACTGGCTTTGTGGAAGAAAAGCCTAATGACGGGCTTCAGTGAAGATTACAATCAAGAAAATCCTATGGAGCAGTTCTACTGTGTAACACATGGGGTTGCCATGAACTGGAATTGACTCAGTGGCAACGGGTTTGGTTTTTTTGGTTTAAAAGTTAGAGGTAATGGATTTGGTCCTCGGATTAGTTTTATAGGGCTGCCATGAGAAATTACCACAAAATTGGTAGCTTAAAACAACAGAAATTTATTCTCTAACAGTTCTGGAGGCTTGAAGTCTGAAATCAAAGTGTTGGCAGCCTCCTTCTGGAGGCTTTGAGGGGGAAACTGTCCCATCCCTCTCTCCTAGCTTCTGGTGGTTGCTGGTGATCCTTGGCCTTCCTTGGTTTGCAGGACACACCACTCTAGTCTCTGCCTCCATTTTCTCTCTACTTTTCTTACAAGGAGACCAGTCATTGAATTGAGATTTCATCTCAACATCCTAAACTAATTACATCTGCAAAGACCTGATTTCCAAGTAAGGTCACATTCAGAGGTTCCAAGTAGATGTGAGTTTTGGGGGGATACTATACAACTCACTACTACTCACAGCTCACTTAAAATCAGGTACTCATTTTTCAGTGAGAAATCCCTTTTCATTCTGAAAAGTGCAAAGAGCTACATCAAATGTTATTTTTATGTCAGAATCTAGATCACGTGGCGTCCACGGCCATTGTGAAGTTCAGTAGTGAGTTTAAGTGTAACTGAGCATAGCAGGCATCATGTGGTGGCTCGTGGCTGTCTTGTCTGCATTCCTTTTGGTTCAGCTGACTGGAAATAGTTGTGGATCAGAGTAACCAATTTAGGAACTCTGCTTGCACGTGCTTAGTGCTGCCAACTACACTGAATGCTGTTATTAATTATATACAATCTTTAGAATTACCAACATTTTGTCTCTTTCCTATATAGTAACCTATAGGGAGACACATTCATCCCTTCTCAAAAGGCTATTTAAAAAAAAATCAATTTCTTTTTGCCAGTTAATGAACCACCATATGCAGGACTCTCTGGTCTCTGTGCTAGATGCTTTATGGGGACTCCAGAGTTCTTAGGAGCCAATCCTTACCTGTTTTTGGTCTGCTGAGGACATTTTAAACTAACATCATAGTCATACTTGACTTACAGTTTTTTCCTTTATCATTATTGAGCAACAGATGGAATGGTTGTTCAGAGGGATACACTGGGGTGGGGAATGTGCTCGTTTCCTTCTCACGTTGGTCTTTAAAACAATCTCTAGATACGGATGCAAGCACAGAGCAGCACCATTCAGGGAGGAATGATAGGCAACTTCGTGAACATCTACCAGCAAGAGGGAACAAGAGGGCTGTGGAAGGTGAGCAGGAAAAAGGGATCCAACTGACTGATTTCTTACTTTTTTCCCTTTTTTTGTTGAATTTATTTTTCCTATTTCCATCATTTTATCTTAATCCAAATGGCAGAATGGAGTAAGGGGAGAAAATGACATTATGTGCTCTTGAAGATAACATCTTCCTTAACTTCCTTGTCTGTAAAATGGAAATACAAGAACTGCGTTGTGATGTAAAGTACCGTTTGAATAATTCATATGTAAGAAATCCTGTGAATGGTCAAGCGGTTTTTTGATTTTGTTTGTTTGCTTGCTTTTTCTTTTTTTAAAGTCTTACAGGAAAGGTTTCTGGGTTATGGTTATATGGGATTTTTGACCTCTCTGGTTCCATGGCTCTTAAAGGAAGGCTGTGTTATTAGACAAGCACTGGGATGAAGTGCTACTTCTAGGATTCTAGTGACTCATCAGTTCATAGAATAGACCCTAAAGGTCATTCAGTACAATCCATCGGTCTGTAAAAGGAAACTGGAGGCTCTGAGAGGTGACTTGTCCTGGGCAGGGTCATATGGTTAGTGCCAGAGCCAGAATTAGACTCAGGAGCTTCTGGCTTCTAGCCCGAAAGTCTTTTCTACTCTGTTGCTCTACATAAATATTGTCCATAGTTTGTGGATTTGAACCTTTGTAAATTTGCAAGGCTTATTCTGTGGAGTGTAACTAAATACTGAATCATTTTTTTTATTAATATTTTTACCCAGGGTGTGTCCCTTACCGCTCAGAGGGCTGCTATTGTTGTTGGCGTGGAGCTACCTGTCTATGACATCACCAAAAAGCATCTGATTCTCTCTGGCCTGATGGGAGACACTGTATATACCCACTTCCTGTATGTTTATGGTTTTTAAAAAATTGTTATTTTATGTATGAATGAGGTTAGGTGGAAATTTGGTAGAAATTTAAACAAAATTTATTATAAAAGTATTATATCCCCATATTTGAAAAATCACAGTACAGAAGTGTACCAGGAAGAAGTAAAAGTCCTTATCCTTTTACACAGACAACCCTTCTTAAACAATTTTATATGTATCTTCCAGGCATTTTCTATCTATATACAAATATGTCTATGAAAGTATATTACATGTACTTTATTATACAAATAAGATCATGGTTTTCATTCTCTCAATTGCTTTTTAAAATTTAATAATACAGTCCAAATACCTTTTCATGTCAGTACATACAGATTTATTCATTTATTTGTAATAGCTACAGATTATCATGTTGTATGGGAATATTGTAATTTATTTAATTTATTGCGGGGACAGTTTTGCCCCCCAGAGGACATATGACAATGTCCAGAGACCGTTTTGATTGTCACAACTTGGGCAGTTTGCTACTGGCATCTAGTGGGTAGAGGCCAGGGATGCCGCTAAACATCCTACGTACCATATGCAGGCCCACCCCTCACAACAAAGAATTATCTGGTCCAAGATGCCAGTAGTGCTAAGGTTGAGAAACCCTGTTCTGAGTTAATTGGTACAAAGTGTGGCCTCTAGTATTGTGATTCTGAAAGTTTAGACCCCTGCTGGATATTATAGTGAGGAAGTCTTTTTTTCTGATCTTTAAGAATAATGTAGTTAGTATATAGCTAGAATTACTCTGATGCCTAAAAAAAGAAACAAAACCACTGCCATTGAGTCAATTCCAACCCATGGCAACCCCATGTATGCAGAATAGAATGCTCCATAGGGTTTTCTTAGCTATAAACTTTACAGAAGCAGTTTGCCAGGCCTTTCTTCCTCAGAGCCTTTGGGTAGGTATGAGCTGTCAACCCTTAGGTTAACAGCTGATCGGAAATCGCTTGTGCCACCCAGGCTCCTGATGCCTGCAATAGATAGAATAGTTCATCCTTAGAGGGCACTCCTTCCATGTTGCCATAATTCTGTGACTTCCAGAACCTCAAAAATATTCTTAATCGTGGCTGGAATTTCTAGCCAGTGTGAAGAGTGCTGGTGTTCAAGAAGTTTGTGCAGCTCCTAGATATGGAGCTGGCTCCTGACCCATTTCTTCTTGTCAGGTGGTCCTTTAACATAGTTTGGGAGGAGCCTGTTTCCTGCCTTTGGTAGTGGTGGTTGAAGCTTACGTGCCCAATGGTATCTTCCTCGTAGCTCAAGTTTCACCTGTGGTCTGGCGGGAGCCCTGGCTTCAAACCCTGTCGATGTTGTGAGAACCCGCATGATGAACCAGAGAGTCCTCCGAGACGGCAGTCGTTCCGGCCCCACAGGTACCCTGGATTGCTTATTACAGGTGAGGATGAATGAATGCGTGGGCTTATGGTCCCTTCCGTATCCCATTGGCTTCTGTGTTACCCTCTGAGAGCTTATTTTCATAATGATTTAAGGACACAGGCTTTGGAGTAAGAAAAACTAAGGATCTGTCACTTATAAATTGTGTGACTTTGGTCAAAATACTTACTCTCCGTATCCTTCAGTTTCCTCATCAGTTCAGTGGGGACAGTAATGGCACCTCCATCATAGGATTATTGTGAAGAGTGAGATAATGCTTGTAAAGCAGTTAGCATAGTGCCTGGAATGTAGCAAGTCCTCAATAGTTAGTAACTACTATTGGTAATAATAAGGGACACTGTTATGAAATTTATTTTGCTTAATTTTCAGTGTTCTAGTGGATTGCTTCAATCAATGAACCCTTCCCCCCAAATAGATAGATCTGACCTAAGAGTGTCTAAATCGGGAGACCTTTGAAAACTAAGATGAGGGGCACTGTCAAGCCTTGAGATGCCACACTGGGCTTCACTTTTATAACTACGAACTCTCGGTGAATATTTAGAAATGAAGGTTCATTTTCTTTATACCTGTACTGTGCTCTGAAGAGGGATGAAATTGGCACTGTGATCTTAGTAGAACTGCGTCGCCTTCCAAAATCCACCTCCTTCCTGTGGAGTCACACTGGAATGAGTATCCTTCATTCTGATCCCTCTCTCAAAGGAACTCATTGATCTTACTGGAATTCTCAGCTTGAATAAGTGGGGCTACTATTCCTGAGTGGGTGAAAGCTCGTGGCTGTCTTCCCACTAGATTGGTAGCAGCCAGTGGTTAGGGACCACTTTTGTGGTTCCAGTTTCCAGACTTCAAATATCTGCTTAATGAAGCAAAGATACTTGCTATTTTTGTCCATCCAGCATCTTATAAAATCATGGTGCTCCCTATGAAATCTTTACCACCATTGCTTCTTTCAGACCTATTTATGAGCCCAAATGGCATGGAAGTTGGAATCAAGCCTGATTTTATATTTGTTCAACCACTGTTCATCTACTCTGCATGCCGTTGTTTGGCATGGAGCCTTAGTCTTCCATCTGTGCAGAAGCTTTAAAAAACAAAAAAGAAACAGAGGCTAGTGATTTCTTAGACAGTCCTTCCAAACAGGATTTTATTTTCAAGAAGAGTACATCAGTCCAGCTGCTGTTTTTTTTTTTTTTTCTTAATTGTTTTATTGTGGTAAAAATATACATAACAAAATATTTACCAATCCAACATTTTTTACATGTACAATTCAGTGACATTGGTTATGTTCATCATGTCATACAACCATCACCATTATCTTTTTCTAAATTATTCCACCATCATTAAGAGAAACTCATTGCCTGCTAAGCTAAACCAAACCAAACCAAACCAAACCCATTGCCATCGAGTCAATTCCGACTCATAGTGACCCTATAGGACAGAGTAGAACTGCCCGATAGAGTTTCCAAGGAGCATCTGGTGGATTCAAACTGCCAGCCTTTTGGTTAGCAGCCATAGCACTTAACCACTACGCCACCAGGGTTTCCTCCCCTCCCCTCCACCCGCACCCCTGGTAACCACTAATAAACTTTGGTATCTATACACTTGCCTATTCTAGATATTTCATATAAGTGGAATCATATAATATTTGTCCTTTTCTGACTGACTGATTTTACTCAGCATAGTGTTTTAAAGGTTTATTCATGTTGTGGCGTGTATCAGAACTTCATTTCTCCTTATGCTAGAGTAATATCCTGTTGTATGTATGTAGCATGTTTTGTTTATCCATTTATTTGTTGATGGACATTTAGCTTCTTTTCACTGTTTGGCTATTGTGAACAGTGCTGCAGTGAACACTGTATAAATTTCTATTCCTGCTTTATTTGGGTATATACCTAGGATTGGGATTGTTGGGTCATATGGTAGTTTTATGTTTCACCCACTAATTATTAATGCATTTGACATAATTTGGAAGTAAAGTTAACTTTTTTTCCCTTCTTATAACAGACGTGGAAGAATGAAGGTTTTTTTGCTCTATATAAAGGGTTTTGGCCAAACTGGTTGAGACTTGGTCCTTGGAATATCATCGTATCCTTTTCTGTTGGTCTGAAAATCAAAAAATGTAGTAAGAAGAATATTGTTTTTATAAATTATCATGTTAACTATAATTTAGAAGTAGGTTCTTATTCTTTGGAGTTTCTCTGATTGTAAGAAAATACCTACTCAGTTTCTTTTTTAGGAAATATAAAGTTTCTGTGCTAGGCACTATGAATCTTATCTTAATGATGGTGCTATTGGAAGGTAATGATATCAATAAAAATAATTTTTAGACTGTTCTAGAAGCTGAGGATATTTATGAGTTCAGAAAGAGACAAGGAGTGATTTCCTATCCCCAGCCATCCTTGGGAAGGGTGTGGCTTGTCAGCAGTGTTCTGGAACGTGTATTTTAGAGGGTGCCTCTGGATCAACTGGACTGAGCTCCAGGATTATTTGGCTGATTGGCACTATTTCCTGCATGCTGCTGTGGGAAGTGGGAAATGAGTAGCAGTTTATTAGACGCAGAAGGACAGAATTATTAAGTAGGGACTGTTGGTTTTTACCACCCCCTTGCTTCTCTTTATCTGCTCTTCCCTCCCAAGGACGACCTGCCTAGCAGAAACCCTGGAGAAGCGCTTCCCCAGGGCTTGTTAACACTCTCGCTGAAATTTGCTGTCTGTAAATTCCTCCTACCCCAGCAAAGTCACAAAAGCTACTCACTGTGGTTGTCATCTTAGAAGAGGCTCACGGAGCTAGTGCTAGGTGATTTTTATATCTCACCTGTGATCTTTCTGTTCCAAGTGGACCTTGGGAAGGCTTATGGGGAGATACTTCGGGGTGGTTGAGCATGAATTCCTTCATATTTAACCATAATCATGGCATGTGGTCTGCTCATACATACTTCCTAGCAGATGTGCTATTTGCGGCTCTGTTTTTATGTGTTGGAGTTGTTAAGAAGGCCTTTTCTTTGTCAGCCTTAACCGATACCTGCAGTTCTTCGTGACATATGAGCAGTTGAAGAAATTGGACTTGTGACAAGCCACAGGCTGTGTGAGATACCCTTTGAAAATGCTAACTTCCAAAACAGTACAGCTTCCTGCGTTTCACACTGCTTCTCACTGCTTGGCTCATCACAGATTCCTGGGTGTGAGCAACAGATGACGACTAGGTTAGTTCAGATTGCTGTGTTGGCATTGGACGTGCCTCATCCAGTGTTCAATGACATAAACTGCAGCATCCAAACACTAGTCTTTACCATTGAAGTGCCCTTGGACATCAAAGATAATATTCGAAGTACGTGTTTCTGCTCCAGAAACCTGGCGAGAAAATCAGGAACTGTGGGTGGTTTCTTCAGGGGAGAGTAGCTCCTGATGCATCTCAGTGCTCAGCAGAGACTCTCAGACTGCTCTGAAGAAGGTCATTGGAACCGTGGATTGGAGCCTCCAAGAGGGTATTACTGTTCCTGAGCGTCAGGGGGCTTTTGCTTCTTGTCCACTGAAGAAGCGTCACACGTGAAGACCTGGACTTCCCAGGAAATTGACCTTTGGAATACTGCACTGTGTTTTAATTTCCTATTTTGACAGGATCTCTCACTTACAGTAAGTGATTTGAAGCTTTTGCAGACTTCACCTTTGTGAGGAATTGTTACAAAGTATTAATATCTAAACTCATTGTGTGATTTGTTGGCTTGGAAGGCGGCACAGGTGTTTTCGAGCAGCGTGGGTTCCATCTTAATGTTAGTAATTCACTCTGATTTTAAACAAAGCTTATTAGCCTTTCTTGTTTTTCCTTCTCTCCCTGGAAAATGGGGATGATGACATATTGCAGTAGAGGTCAAATAAAGAAAAAGTAGCTACTGGGCCTCTTTTAATGATGTTGATGCAGCTGCTTGTCTTGTAGGGTAAGTGTGTGTACATCATGCTGTCCTATAGCTGTAACCCCTCCACGAACAGTCTGAATGTATAGAAGAGAGTCATGTTATCATGGGGTTCTCACTGTAATCATCAGGGAAGCCCTTTATGAAAGGCCTTGTTAAAGAAAGAGCACCGCGTAAGTTAAGGTTTCAGTATGCTTTGCCTATCAGAATGTGGCTAGTGAATTGAATTGTGGATTTTTTCCAGCTTTTCAGTTTTTACTTTAGATCACGCCACGTCACCTTAAAATATGTCCTATCTTGGACTTCCTAGTTAGTTTAGGTGACAAATACATGATTGAAATTTTAAAAGCTGTTTCTTTAGTACATCTATTTATCTCATTTGTAACAGTGCATACATCATATTTTTCTTTATTTTCTCTTCTAAAGACAGTGAGGATAAATTGTTCTCCCTCTTTCTTGTCTTCATCCTATTCTTTTCAAATAAAAGGTTACTCTGAGAAGCCCAGAGTAGCTGGATAGTACAAACCATTAACGCACTTGCTGCTAACCAAGAGGTTAGTGGTTCAAGTCCACCCAGAGGCACCTTGGAAAAAAGGCCCGGCCATCTACTTCTGAAAACTCAACCACTGAAAATCCTGTGGAGCACAGTTCTACTCTGACACACATGGGGTCACCATGCGTCGGAGTCGACTCAGTGGCAACTGGTTTGGTTTTTAGTTTTGGCCTGAGAGCCCCATGAACTTTATACCCATAGAAGACAGCCCCAGGACAGCTTGGGTCCTTCAGTTCTACCCTTTAAGAGTATTTAAATGTGTCCTTCCTGCGACTCCCGAGCAGACCACTTCTACGGTATATGCAGGGCAAATTACTAGCCTTTGGGGCTCCTTCCTCCATTGAGGCAGGATAGGAGGAATGCAGGCTGTTTGGGGACCAGGCAGTTTTCCTCACAGTCAGTTTCACCTTGCCTTCTTTATTAATGTTTCCTTTGAAAAAGATTTTGTGAAGCAGAATTTTATTTCTGAAAGTAAGAGCTAAGATGTAGTCATTAAAAAGAGGAAGGAAGAAGGGTGGTGGGGTGGCAGGTATGTGTTCATTGCTAAAGGACGAAGGTGAGAAGTCCAGATGTCATCCTGGCCTGGTCTAGATGGCAGTGGAGGGTCTTGTGATGCACAAGAGCTGAGCTCATTCAGGCTTCAGCCCTGATACACTGAACCCGTGTTCAGAGACAGGCGATTTTGTTTCCTTACCAAGCATTCCGTTCATGAGGTCAAGGCTTTCTATAGTGAGCCTTTCAATTTTGAGTTCTTTGAGTATAAAGAATTGCTTTTCATGAACCACTCTTGTTTTTGCTTTGTTTAATGTAGAAAACATTTTGTTTTTTAAAGCGTACGTATAATTTCTGAAACAGTAGAAGCAAGGTCATTTAAAGACCATGTAAACAATGACTGTTAGGTCATATTGATTATATTAGTTTATTCACATAATGTTCATATTCAGACCAAGATGAGAAGAAATTCAAATGTCATTGTAAAACTTGAGCACGTTTTTAAGACAAAAACATGGCATTTCTTCAGTGTAGATGTGTTAAGCACCCTATAGAACAGAATCTTAATCTGCTTTTGTTTTCTGCTTCCCAAAGGAATTCTTGAGACTTCTATTAAAGACACAACAATGGAATTAGGAGAATTGGTTCCCTTATTTTCAGGAGTGTAGCTGCAAGTCTTTTCTCCCGCCTTTTTGGATACTGCTTAAATATGGCAGAAGGGTTTCTAGTTTTTATAGTCAAGTTGAAGAAAATGTTTTCATTGTTTGCTTATGGGTTTGTGTAATCACTGCTGGCAGACGTTGATCTGTGATATAAAAAATGGCTCCTGTTCTCCATATTTATTTATACGCTTGAGATAGTATATATTATATAAACAGTATACATTTTTCACAAGCCTTTATATGTGGAGCTCTTTATTTAAACAGTGTTGGAATATGTGCTGTATACCTTGTTTCATTTATTTAATAAACTGGAGTAATATATAATAACAAAAAATGTTTGGTGGTTATTTCAGATACAGAAACGTTTAAACAAAGGAGAGTGCAGAAGCCTGTAGTAGCAATGCTGTTTTTGGCTGCCATCAAGTCGATTCCGACTCATAGTAACCCCATGTGACAAAGCAGAACTGCCTGATAGGTTTTCTTTGCTCTAATCTTTACAGAAGCAGATTTTCA